TTTACACTTTCTCACCCTGCTTTCGAGCGGAAAAGTCTCATACTACTCGCCATTTGGCAGAGTTTTGAATGGTCGAGCCAGAAATGATTTTTGCTGATTTGGAAACAATAATTAACTTAGCAGAAAAAATGATAAAATATGTGATAGATTATGTGTTAAATAATAATCTTAAAGAATTAGAATTTTTTACAAATTATAACCAAAAGGATTTAATTAACAAACTAAGAACAATTTCGCAAACTAATTTTAAAAGGGTTGATTATAGCAAATGTGTTGAAATATTAGTAAAAAATAAAAAAATTTTTAACTCTTCTGATATCAAATGAGAAAAAGAAATTTTACAAAATGAGCACGAAAAATATCTGTGTCAACATTTTGACAATAGTCCGATTTTTGTGCTTAATTATCCTCTTGATTTAAAGGCTTTTTATATGAAAAATAATCTCGATGGGAAAACGGTAGCCTGCTTTGATTTATTGTTTCCTGAAATTGGTGAACTAATTGGTGGAAGTCTACGAGAAGATAATTACCAAACTTTACAAGAAAAAGCCGATAAACAAAGTTTAGGTACTGATGATTTAAGTTGATATTTTGATTTACGAAGATATGGTTATGCTCCCAGTGGCGGCTTTGGTTTAGGTTTAGAAAGGTTAATAATGTTAATCAGTGGCACCGAAAATATTCGGGATACGATTGCTTTTCCGCGATTTCCGGGAAAAATAGAGTTTTAAAAAATAAAGCAAAAGAAAAGACCAGTCATGATAAAAAAAATAATAGAAAAAGGGTTGGAAATTCTAGCACGTTTCTGTCTTTTTCTGCTAATTGTTTTTCTTCTTTATTCAATATTAGGTCCAGAAATCATTTGAGTAATAATGATGCGTTCTTTGCTCGCAAGACGTTCCCTGACAATGGTTTTTTTAATTCTCTTGCTGGTTTTTGAAATAGTGTGGATAGCAGACGGGCCAGGCTTTCGTTTTTCTCTCCTTTCTTCTAAAACAAAAAAGTTTAAAAAATACTTTTTCACTGAACTATTAATCTCTTTCATTTTCTTGACGTCTTTTTTTTTAATTTCCTTACTATTGTTTACAGTTGCTTATTCATATTATACAAGTCAATAGTGAAGAATTTTAAAATAATTATAATATGATTAAAAATAAAAAAAAGTTTTTTTTTCTTTTATCCATTACCCACCTATATTGTCTAATTTCAGCTTGATTTAATGCGGGGGATAAAACTAACTATCCCGGTTCTTTTTTTTGACATTTTTTGGCGTGGTGGTGTACCTGAAACACTATCATAACTTTGACCTTTATTTTTTGGAAAGTAAGGCGACCCCAGGCTAACACCTATTTTGCCCAGGTCTTTTCGCTGATAACCATGATT